CAATAGGTCCCCAGGGCCCTCAGTAAAAACTACAAAACCTCTAACAAGACTTATGAGGCTCTTTAAAATACAGCTTCTGCCTACATCTTCCCAAGAGTACATACAATCTAGCTACCCTCAGTTCCTGGGGGCATTTGAACATAATGTTTCTATAGTTTGAAACCGTTTTTCTTTCCCAGTTCTGACAACTTCAATTTCAAGATACTGGGATAAATTTTATTTCTTCTAGAAAGCTTTCCAAGCGATGAACATTCTTCCCTCTTCTTTTTAACAAGTCTGGGTCTGGTGTCCTGCTGGGTTTTCCTATAGCATCCTACCTTTACTTCACGTGCAACAACCATTATAGTAAAAGTGTTTGTCTTGTCAACCAGAGAATAACCTCTAGAGCACAAGGACTAATGTTTATCTTTTTCGCTTACAAACATGCCACAGTGCCAACTAGAGGATCTTAAATTTGTTGAGTGGGGAAATGAATCTCCAAAGAGGATAAGTTTAATAACCTACTGAAATTTTACTGTTGGAGTACACTTTGTCAAAGGCATTTAATACCTTAAAATTCTATATAAATATAATTACAACTATTTCTAATCAAGGTATTTATTAAGATCTTTCTTCTTAATTCTCTAATGTGACTTGTCTTTCAATTTCTATTACAGAAGAATTTTGTAGCAACTTCTATAGTCTAAAATCTGTCTTAAAACATATTGCATATAATTTTAAAATAAAGAAACAAGCATTAGCTGGGTATGGTGGTGCATGCCCATAATCCTAGCATTCTGGGAGGCTGAGGCAGGAGGATCACAAATTTGAGCTCAGTTGGAGTAATTTATCAAGATCCTGTCTCGAAATTAAAAAACAACAAAAGTCTGGGGTTGTTGCTCAGTGTGAAGGTTGCAAATTCAATCTCTAGTATCTTAAAAAAAAAGAGAGGGAGAGGAGGACAAGGATTAAAGAAATTCAAATGTACAAATCAAGTCTTCAAAACCTTCTCCAAACCTTCTGACATGTCATTTACTGTGTTTTAATAAGTATACATGATTCCCTGAATAGTGGATTGGGACCAAGGCTCTAATCATGTCATTTTAGAATAGGTGGCCTGATATGCCTCCTTTGTTGGAGAGTTATCTTGAATGTCATAGAGTTTAGAAACAATACTATGTAGGATGAGTATGTTGCTTCTGTTTTAATTGAATATGAAAAGCATTCAGTTACTCCATTTTATCAAATATCAATAATAAATTTGGATTCAGCTGATAAATAATTCAGTAATAAAATATCTGGTGTGAACCTGTTATGTATAGAAAGATTAAAAGTTAACTAAGGTTACTAATTCCCACTCAAAATTTCAAAGCCTGTTGCAAGTCTATATAGCAGGATGTTTGATAAACTTTATGTAGTTAAGATAAACACATATCAGGCAGTTAATAGTTGGAGATCTGGTTATTAGCACTTCAAACCCAGAATATCTGGTAAACTTAACAAAAATAGCTATTAAATGAATGTATATTTCAGTAAACTGGCCTGCTTCCCAATATCACAGCATTTAAAATTTAAAACTGTTGAGAAAACCATCTACTTTGGCCTTCTAGTTTATAGAGAATCTGAAAACAATCCAATTAGACCCAGTAGTTAATATCAGAGCCAGCATTAGAACTCAAGACCTCCAATTTCTAGTCAAAAGCTATTTCTAACTGACTAGGGTTTATAAAACAAAGAAGGCAGGCACTCACAAAGCAGCAGAAAGGCCAGCCAAGAACCCCGAAGTGTGAGTTACACAATGAAAGAAATACTCATATAATATGGAGAATGCAAGCCTAAAATAAGAGGGTGCTTAGATATTTCCAAGTTTCTTTCTCACATAAATGTATAAGGCACTGTTTTAAGGATATTTAACAAGGTTTCAAGTAAGGCAAAATAAGTGTGTGTGTGCGTAGTGATATCAAGAAAATGGTTTACAGCATTTTGTATTCTATAGGGATTCCAGACCATCTTGCAAAGTTGTCTTTTTTGTTTGCTTTTGTTTTTATTGTTCTAACTGGAGTTCTTGGTACTCTAGGCTCAATATTTTATTATTATATAGAATATCTGTTTTGGACCCAGGATTTTATTAATGTCATCCCTGGATGTAAAACCTAATGGACAAACTGAGTTTTCACTGAAAGACACCAAGAAAACTAATTTCGAGTTGGCCAGGAATGGTGGAAAAGCACAATTCAACATAACAGTAATTGCAACCAAAATAAACACGGAACAAATTCAGAATTTGTGCTTTCCACAAGAAGTGTAATTTTAGGGTGTGAGACAGAAACCTTTCAAATGTAATGGTTTGTGCAACAGCTTTTATAAGGTGTACTTTTTGCTGTCAAACAACACAAAATGCTCATAAGCGTAATTAGTTTTAGATGGGAGGTTTGCAACTTGTGATATTTATCCATGTTAAAATGTTCTGCAATTAACTCTATGTATTATGTTCATCTTTTATTTTTAAAAGATTTTAAAATTGTTTTGTACAAAACCAACTATACTGTTTGATTCCTTAATCATCTCATGGATTTGATTGAATTTCATTAGTTTCATGGTTGTTCATAACTAATTTACACAAAAGTAAAATTTCTGCAATATTTAAGAACATTATAACAAGACTGAAAAAAAATACTTCCCAATAAAACCAACTCAAAAATTGTTTTAATGTAGTCTTAATTAGGAAGTTAATATAAATAATTTTCTTGTTGTGCCATGATAGTAAGCTGATATTTACATATTATATTCAAAACCTTATGCAAATGTGGGCCCATTGCTTTTCATGGTTCCATGCCAAACTTACAAGGGTGATGCTTTCTAAATGCAACTGAAAGGATTAATTATGTATGAAAAAACATCCATTCCCTTTCCTTACAAAATGTGCTCATACTGAATAATACTTCTTTTACAATTAAGGCAAGAATTGAATTTTTTAGATGAAGGCTAATGAATGAATCACTTTCTCTCTTTTCCTTCTTTCCCCCAACCCCTTTCTCTACTATCTTGGCCAAAAAGAAAGAATGCCGGGCTGGAGATTTAGCTTATTGGTTCTGGTGCCTGCCTCGCAAGTGCAAGGATCCGAGTTTGATGCTGATAATTAAACAATAGCTACACAACAGCACCTTCCAGCTGCTATATGTATATAAACTAAAGCAGCAATGTACATAACTATATCAATAATTTTTCCTTTGAAATTTTTTTCACACCCTGACAACTGATTTTCACATTACCCATAAGATCTCATAGCCATACCATTCTCATCACTGTAGACATAACAACTCAATTATTTTATATATATGCATATAAAACTATGTCATTTTATACCACACACACATCACATGACCAAAAAGTTTTGATGTTACAAAAGTTACAGAGAAATTAAATCAAGAGCACTATATATTCTTTGCTTGTACTTTTTAGAAAACACTTTATAATAAGATTAATAAAAGCCAACTCTAGTCTTGTATTATTTTATTTTATGTTGCTATATTTACAGAACTGTAGGCTCATAGACTCTCAGGATAGGCAAGTCTTTCAAAATAATGACCTTGGGGGCCAGGGACTTAGCTCAGTGGTTCCATTGCCTGCCTTGCAAGTGCGAAGACCCGAGTTCAATCCCCAGTACCAAAAAAAAAAAAAAAAAAACCCAAAAAATGACCTTGACTCATGGTTTGTACCAGGATGTTTGAAACTATATAATGAAGCCTACCATATCATTTTACTCTGAATATTATGAATTACAGAATCGAGCTCTCAAGATGACTCCGAAGTAACTATACTTTAAGTGTATAAATAATAATTAACAGTAGAAAGATAAAAGAAGCAAATAAACATCTTAATAAGGAAAATTTTATTAATTCATTTGGCAGTTTCTTCTTGAAAAAATATTGAGTAAAAAGTCATAAAAGGTAAGTACAAAGGGTGACAATGTCATTTCTGAGGCTGCTGCTCCCATTCCACATAAGCCAGTAAAACCTGAAAATCGCTGCAGTGTGGCTTCAGGACATGCGGTGCGGTTACAGCAAAAATCATATCAAATAACTAAAAAAATAGGAAGCAGTACATTTTTTAAGTATGCTAACCTTATTACAAAGTTATCAAAAAGAGAAGGAACTCTCTGACTAACATCCAGGGAAAAAAAGGCAAATTTCTTAAATTTTTTTATTATTAATCCTGGCAATTCTAATAAGTAATTTTTCTTCCAAATTGAACATTTTCAGTTACCACAAATACTGAAAAATCTGTTTAATGTTTAATGCGAATTGAATAAAAACCAACAGAAAATAGAGTAACAAGAAAATAAGATCCTAATGTGTTTAATACTGATAAATCTAAAACACTTCTTTAATCAGTTTTTAAAACACAGTTTAAATACACAAAAATTTCCTCAACAGGAAAAAATACAAAACCAGTCTTTACATGGGAAAAACACAGAAATTTCTACAAAATTTGCCATTTGAAAGCAACATCTATTTTTTGTTACCTTTTCTCTTTTACTTTAAATTACCTAAATAGAAAGGCTACATACAAGAGAATGTTATTAAAATTTGTTGTTACAGCATAATATAACACATATCAACTAAAACTCTAAAATGATATGCAATTTACCTGACAAATTGTTTTGTGAAATATGACTGAGAAAGCAATAATGAATAATTGAGGTGATTTATGTTTCTTCCCAATGATGTATAATCAAATTATTTTTATATGAAAATTTAAAATCTTAGGAATACCTTTATTGTAGTGTATTTGTCTGAGTTACTCAACAGTGAACAGTTTTACTGTATTTTTAAATGTCCCACCTTTAGTATTTAGATTATGCCCTTTTTTTATGTTGCAGTAACTTAAGAAGAAACAATCTTTCCTAGACAAAAAAAATCTAAAACTACTATAAATCCTGAACATAGTTTCTTTGAAGATTTTATCCATGTTACCCTTTCTTCTTGTTTTGAAGACAAGGAAAAAATGCTTGCTGGATGCAAAATTAAACCTAATAGTTTACTGCTTTAACACCTTCCGAGCGTGAAGACAGTTGGGATGAAGGTAAGCTAAGTTCTATTGAGTAGCAATTCTCTTGGAAAACATAAGTAAGGCTGCAAGTAATGACCCTTTTATACTTTCTTCCATGATATCTTGGTGTGGGAAGATGAATACTAACTAATAAATAAGAGCAGGGAAAAATGACTCTAAATAACCTGAAAAATCTAATAGGCTGGTATTTCACATCTGAAAGATCCTCCAAATAAATGAGGATGTTTTTTCTACCTTCACATCCTCAATTACATCCACTTAGCAAAAAATATTCTAATGTACTGAGTACTTAACACATATCTGCCATTAAACTTAATACTTTAATTCCTACAACCTTGTTGAAAGGTCTGTCTCCCTTTCCTGCCTTCTCCCTGGACTGTGCTTTCTGGCTATCAAGACAAGAGTAGCCTTTGTCTGCTATACTCCTCCGCTATGCTGTCCTGCCTTGGAACCAGTGGCCCATAGACTGAAAGTGGGAGGCAAAATAAAACTTTCCTCCTTCTAAATTACATATGTCAATTATTGTGTCCTAGTGACAAGAATGTGACTAAGCCAATAAGAATAAATTATAAAATGGATTAAAACTTCCCATCTCCTAGTGTGACTATAAGGTTTAAACAAGTGACTGCCTTTCATGGGCTTAGAACTATGTCTCATGTGAATCCTCAATAAGTAACAACTACCAGTACACAGAATTGATTTATGATCACTAAATCTTATAGTCAAGACACTGAATTAATTTTTAGTTAGATGACATAGGACATCACAGAAAAATAGTTTCCAATTCATAAGTGTTACAAACAATATTAGAAGTTATTTAAGTTATTTGAAAATCAATGTCAAAACAAAGCTAAAGCAATTCTCAAAGTGAGAGACCTTGATCCAGTGAAAAATTACATACTACATGGAGTGTTTCTGGATTAACCAATAAATTAAATAGTACTGCATTTCAGTGGATACAGAAGATATATGTTCAGTGTTCTCCTGCTGCCTTCAATTATTCGTTATTAAGTGCTTCATTCAGCCAGAATTTATGGATCTAAATATTATACCTTAAGAAATTTAATTCTAAATTTTTTTTAAAAAATGAAACACATTTCACGTATTTTATCTCATACAACTTCAACGCTTTTTGACAATGCACACATTACTACAACCACAAAAATAGATGCTGAAATATCAAATTGGAAAGACTGTCAACCTGATGTAATTATACTTTATAATCTCTTCCATGTAACTGAAAGGGCATTTTTTTGTTTTATTTTTGTTTTTTCTTTAATTAAAATAATTTCATGCATCTCATATGTTTAACAGAATAAAGAAAAGTATATTTTATTAAGGATCTCAAATTTTCTTAGTTTGACAAAAACTGCAATTTATGATCTTTTATCTTTTTGACACTGAGGACAAAACCATAATTCTGCTAAATGAACATGGGAATAAAATATTAAACAACTTTACTGACTAAGAACTAAGTATATGAATAATTATTTTTATTTATAATGTTTCATAAGATGACGAAAATTTCACCTAGAACTTTTATATTTGTAAAATCACCATTCTCTTCTTTCACAACACACTAAAAATTATGTGGAAATTTGTTACCATGGCACATGAAGTCAGTGAGGGAGTCTAGCAAGACAAGACGGAAAGCATGTGGCGACTCTCAATACCATTTTTTCCACTGAGTTATCTCCCAGCCTCCATTCATTCTTTAGTCAGCCAGAAGATTAAAGCCTTCATCATGCATGCTGCCTTCCTCTAGCTTTTTGCAGTGAAGTAGACCAACCAACAGCTTTACCACTCGAAAGAAGGATTAAAGCTAGAAAAATACACTTAGACATGAACTGAGTATTAATGAGACATTCTATGGTTCACTAAGCCTAATGCCTACTGAGAGGGCGTCAGAAACATGAAAAAGTAATCCCAGAGAAAAATGAGAAAGCTAAGGTAACTTTGAAGGGTGACTGAGGTCATCAATATTGTATTCATAAACTCTTATCATTTAGATAGAACTTTACTATATAGAAAGTATTTTCACAAAATATTTTACTTGACCCTTACAACAGTAGTAGCAAGGATATTTTTTATTATTATTTTTCATATAAAGGAACTGGAAAAGTTTAAGAAGCTTGTATGAGATCAGTTTAACAAATTAATGAGCAGGATCTTGACTTCTATCTCCTCCAAAACTAAATGCAGATTTCAGAGTCTTTCAGTTGTATTACTACATTCCATATGCATAAAAGAAGAGGGGTAAACTAAAACACAGGTTCAACACCAATGTCAGAAAATATTTCTGTACACCTTAAATGATGATCCAAGAAGTCAGAAACCATTTTGCCCACTAAAACCCCCTACATCTCAATCTGTACAACCAACGTTTCATTGGGTCAAACCTAAAACCAACAAATGCAGAATCTTCTCACTTGTGAAATTCTACGGCTACATAAGAAATTGACCCAGCAGTAAAAACATCTGAGGAAATCGGAAGTATATATTTCTTTTTGTCATATAGTATCTCCTTGTTCTACACTGACTCATCTTCTGCAGGGTGGTCAGGCTCACTCAGTGCATTAGTCAACTCTCCTGTTGCTGAAACACAATACCCAAAACCCACAACTTAAAGAAAGATTTCATTTGGCTCATATTTTCAGGGGATTCAGATCATAATCAGATGGCTCCAAGAAACAAATACCACGGTGAAATGGTATGAGAGAACAAAGATGTTTAGTTCATGATAGCCAGGAAGCAAAATAGGGAAAAAGTGTCAGGGAGGAAAGGGACTAAGGACCATATACAGTACCCAAAGTTATGCCTATGTGACATACCCAGACATGCTGACAAGTAGACTTAATAATCTGCTAGGTATTTCTTAATCTAATCAAGCTGACACATCAAGTTTAATGGTCACAAAGTACCTCTTGTCAACCTTACACCCAAACACATCACTGTAAACCCTGCTTAGTCTCCCAGTAAACATAATAACAACTTAATAATTACACCTAATATGATATCACAAGCTCATCTACAACTGAAACACAATCATACCTTCCCCAAAGTTGCAAAAGTCCCAGCACTGCTAAAAAGTCCAAGTCAAAGTCTCTTCTGAGATTCAAGGCAAACTCTTATCTGTGAATCTGTTTAAAAAGTCACATAATCCTGAGGTACAACGACACAGGGTAAAAAAATTCCCAATTCAAAAGGAAAGAATAGGAGAAAAGAAAATGCAAAACTAAAACCCAGCAAGGCAAACACTAAGTCTTATAGCTCCATGTCTATTATCTGGGGCACATGGTGCTAAAATAAGAGTTCTAGAGACCTTGAGAGGGGCCCCATCCCTATGGCCTTGCCAGTTGCAGTTGACAGCCTCTCTCGGGCTGACTCCACTCATAGCCTGTAGCTTTCCTTGGCAAGACTGTCCATGTTCTAGCATCTCCAACTTCCGGGGGTCTCCACTGAATGTTCAGCTTCATTCCCACAACTTTAAATACTGTCTTCTCAGGGGTTCCTTTCCTGGTCTCCCAGGCCTTCCTTTGAAATATAAGTGGAAGGCTCCCTGTCCCCACAACTCTTACTTTCTGCATTCAGGTAAAACCAATATCATATGGACAACACCAAGGTCTGCTGTCAGCAGAAACAATAGCCAAGCTCCGTTGGACCATGGCTATAGTGGTCCCCGAATATCTAAATGGCTGAACACAGTACAATGAATCCCAGGGATCCTACTCCCCCTTCTTAAAGAGCTTTGGCCACAGAGACCCTCTTCTCAAATAAAGGTTTATATTTTGGCACTCAAGCCAGCAATGGGTGGGGTTCTGTTGATTTCTGAGATGCCACTGAGTCATCGTCTTCTTATCCCCTACAAAGTAGAAAGGACCAGTAATACTCAACCTACAGGATTTTCCCCAGACAGGAAACCAGTCTGGCATACCTTTCACTTGAAAGAAAAGCTGGTCTTATTTAAGCCCAAAAGGGCTTACTGGAGAATCAAATGGTTCTTCTCTACTTTGGCAAATTGATTCTGATCAACTTGGGCTTTGTGATGCTGGATCATGGTGGTGGTAGAAATGTGAGTGCAGGTATACATGTGTGTATGAATTCCAGACAAAGAAGTAAAAGCAGCAAATAAATATGTGAAAAAATTTCAACATCACTGGTCATTTGAGAGATGCAGATCAAAACTACACTGAGATTCCATCTCACCCCAGAAACAATGGTTGCTATCAAGAAATCAACCAATAACAAATGCTGGTGGGGCTGTGAAGAGATTGGAACCCTTCTTCCTTGTTGGTAGGAGTGAAGACTATTCAATCACTGTTGCAATCAATGTGGAGATGCCTCAAAGAACTATGACTAGAGGTTCCATTTCACCCAGCTATCTCTCTGCCTGGTATCTTTCCAAAAGAATTTAAAAAATCATACCACAGTGAAATATGCACACCCATATTTATGGTGGCACAATTTGTAATAGCTAAAACTTGGAAACAGCCCAATTGCCCATCAGTTGGAAACGATAAAGAAGATGTGGTTTTTCTATAAAATGGAGTACTACTCAGCCATAAAGAATGATAAACTAGAGTCATTCATAGAAAAATGGATGCATATTGAGGTCATACTCAAGAGAAACAAATAAGACATATGTGTAAATAATGAATAGTTTCTCTGGTGTGAAAAACTAAACGTGTAAATAAGATCCAAACTGTGTAACTGGTAATGTGAAATACGAAGAAAAGGGAGAAAGGTGAGGGGAAGTGGGAAGGGTCAAGGAAAGGCAATAAGGGACAAGAAAAAATATGAGAAAAGGAAAAAATGGAAACAAAGTCTTTGTAAATAGGGGAGGTTGAGGGTGGTGAAAGGACCACAGGAGTATGAGGAAAAAATGAGAACCATCTGTCATGTAAAGGTAAAAGATCCCAATGATGAATATAACTGTACTGTATACTTAAAAAGTCACCAATAAACTCAATAAAAAAGAAAAAAAACCCTAAGTATATATAAAATAGAAGATG